CCTCCTCTCTCTCTCTCTCTCTCTCTCTCTCTCTCTCTCTCTCTCCAGCCTTCCATCTCTCTCTTCCTCTTGTTCTGTCCCCAAAACCTACCTCGTCCACTTGCGGGGGCGGAGTGGTCGCGGAGGCGTTTTGGGTCGTATTTGGTGTTGTAGTTGTAGTAGTAGTAGTAGTGGTGGTGGTGGTGGTGGTGATGGTGGTGATGGTGGTGGCTGGGGCGCCGGGCTCGTGAGGGTGTGAGTGGGTGCTAGACAGGGACGCGTCCCTTTCGCGCTCCATCGCAAGCTTGTAGACCTTGTTGCGCAGGGTGCTACGCGGTATCCCGTAGATCACGGCCGCCCTCCGTGTCCCGAGCTTGCCACTCTGGATATCCCTGAGCGCGGCTTGCAGCTCCTCCTCGGTGTAGGCCCTCCGGCCACCCCCGGCACCCACCACGGGGACACCACCGACCCCCGCCGCCGCCACGGCCGCCGCAGCCACGGCCGCCACCGGCCCGCTCATAGCCCGTGGCTTCGGCCGATAACCGGAACTGAAAACCAATTCGCATTACCATCTCGCCGTCACCCATCGCGTCGCGTCGCCCTCCTCCTCGTCCTGCACCGACCATCGAGAAATGTGGATATTTTTTTCCAACCTCCTTCGTTTTCTATAACTATGAGTCGAACTTTGCTCGTCTCTGCTTCTTGAAAACCCGAATATAACCCGATCGTCATCACCATTTTATAACTTGGTGGTTTGACGTTAAATTAACAGACAGCCGGGGTTCAAATCTACGACGAAATTGGAAACAACGAGGTATTACGTATTTAAACGAGATTTCTTTTTAACAAGGCGTGCACGACGAGCTTTGATTAAATCTCGCTCGCTCGAAATCTTCGTCATATCTTTTTAGCGGGTTATCCAGGATTTCGGTATCACGTGCACGAGTGGTTCATCGGCCACAATCCGCGCCACGGTTTTCCGCTCGGCAACCACGTGGCCGGTGTGCCGTGGCCACGTGTCCCGCGCGAGAATCGATCCGTGCCTCCGTGTCTCGTTAACTAAACTTTGATCTTTGACCTATCGCCTCTGTCCCCTGTAGCAAATTCTAGGTATACACGAAATTAGACGAGAGGAGGGGGTGGGGGGGGGGAGGGAAAGCTCGTTTAGCATTTGCATTGCGCAATCGAAACGTTTCTGAAAATATCACTTATACACGCCATTTTCTCCGCTCTCTTGAACAACATCGCAGTTCTTCGAGCAGCTTCGAGTATCATTTTCTCCCTTCCACTGGAGACACGGTATATTCGTATCATCGATATCGGTTTCCTTATCGCGTTCTTCGAATTGGAAAAAAAAAAGAAAGAAAGAAAGAAAGAAAGAAAGAAAGAAAGATTTCAATTCGCAATATCGGTGAAAAGTATTCGAGGAACGGATCGTCTCGTAGTTTGACAATCGGATTAATCGAAAGAATTCGTTCCTGAAAGGAACCGCGTTCGCCTTCTCGACGTCGAGAACATGCCCTCTTCCTTTCTCTCTCCGCCCCCCCCCCCTCCTCCCCTCTCTTGCTTGCCGATTACGAGTTCGTCGACCTATTCTCTTTCGCCCGGTAAAATAAACTGATAAAAATTGCGTGTATTTCGTATTCCCACACCCCTCCCTTCGGTTCGAGTACGGTTGCAACACCCGATATCTCCTCTCCTTCCCCCCCCCCTCCCCCCGATTATTTTTATTCCTTGTATTCGACCGATACCTGCCGCCGCGCCACCACAATTAACTCTGCCTCTAATCGCTATTCCAATTCCTTCGCCACCGCGACTCGAGGTTAATTAATCGCTAATTTCTCGGCTATTCCTAGACCTAAATAATTAAACGCTTTGTCGGTGAAATCGTAATTGCTCCCATTTTAATCCATCATTGTCCGCTGCGCGGCACCGATTAAGATAAGAAACGGTCGCGATGCGACGAAAATGAGCCACGCAGAAAACGGAGGAATCGATCGATCGATCGATCGATCGATCGTTCGTTCGTTCGTTGTTGCATCGTTTATCTTTTTCAAAAAAAAAAAAAATTAAACACATTTTTCCAAAAATAATTGTTAAATCTAAAAATTAAAATCTCATTCTTAAAGAGAGGCGTGCGCGCGCGCGCGCGCGCGTTTGATCGATCCGTCTCTTTCGCTAACCTCGAAACAACGACACCTCGAAACGTTCATAATCTCGGCGATGCGTACAACTAGCTATAAAGTTTCTATCCTCCGTTCCTCCAAGGGAAAAGACAATTTTTTTTTTTTTTTTTTTTAAGAAACGACCGTTGACTCGATTTTCTCGGTTCGGTAGATCGCGTCGCTTCTAATTTCGACTCGACTCGCGTGGAGTTTCGACGCCGGGCTATCTTATCGTTAATTGCGGTGGCGCGCATGCGCGGGCGCGATCCGAGACCACCGCGCCTCGTCTCTTTTTCTCCAGCGTTCCTCTCCCGAGTTTTGGTCTTTCTCGCTCGGCTCGGCTCGGCTCGGCGTACGACACATGCGAGGTACTTTGTGCCTTCGATGTGTCAGGAGGTGGCAGATTACGGTGCTACTAATAATAGACGACGATAAAAATTTGACGCGCAAAATGTTCCGCGGGGAAAACAGCGAAAACACGAGGGCAACGTACGGACACGGTTCGCGACTTTGACTCCTCCGCCGCATATTATATTCTTCTCGCTCCCTTATATTGTTCTCCCTCCCTCCCCGTTCCCCCGTATTATTATTTATTTTTCGCCAACCTCCTCGACATTAGAGAACCGCTATCGGGATTTACGACTTAATTTATTTCGGGTTAGGAAACGTTGAACTCGGCGCGAGTTCGCGCGCCGAGCGAAAACTTCGCCGTTTCTCGACCGGACGGTCGAAATTTCGTCGAAATTTATTTTGAAACGAATCGAATTTTTGTTTTTTTTTTTTTTTTTTTTTTTTTTTCTTTTTCGGCAACCGAGCCGAAATCTCCTTCGATTTCTTTTCGCAGCTCGATCATCGATTAACTTTCACGCCCGATTCGCGGCCGAGCCGAGTTTCTCCTCGCCAATTTTCGAGTTACCCTTTGGAACGGATTACGATTTTTTTCAGAGATAGACGATACGAGGAACACTCCTTCGAGTGTTAGCTTCCTACGAAACCGAATATTGCCAATACGGTGGTCGGCTTTTCTTTTCTTTTTCTTTCTTTCTCTTTTCTCTCTCTCTCTCTCTCTCTCTCCTTTTTCGCAAGTAACGCGGATAAACGTGGAACGGGAGCGCGATAATTTTAACCGACACGCAAATTTTATTGAAGAGATTAACGCGCGGATAACGCGAGGCGGCGTTGTTCCCCGCCCGCGGACTCGAAACCGGCGCGAAAAAAACGTGACTTCGTGAAACGACTTCGGTTTGGAAATTTTAACGTAACGAGCGACGGGGTTGATTCCCCGATGCTCGAAAGGGAAAATTTTCCGAATAAGCAAACAACAGGTAGGGGGAAAGAGGAGGAGGAGGAGGAGGAGGAGGAGGACTTTTTAATTACCGGTTCGAAATACGCCGCCGCTGTTTGGTAGGATTCGAAACGCGAATCCTATTTTATAACGACGCAACTTCCTGACGAGCGTGTACGAACAGTATCGCGCGATATAGCAGTATACGATACGATATAAAAGTGATCCAACTCTTTCGAGCGGGGGAACAGGATAGGATATTAAGGATAGCCGATTAATAGAATCGAGAAGCACGAGGATCGAGCATCGAAACGAGTCGAAAGCGCGTTTGTCCGTCGTTGAATCGTCGCGAATCTATTCTCGATCCTTTTGAATACGCGGAATGCGATCAACACTTTCCTTTGCTCGCGCGGAATGCAAATACCTATATATCAGAGGTAGGTAGGTAGGTAGGTAGGTAGGTAGGTAGCTTCGTTTCGCTACGAGGTGTAAAACGAGCCGCGTGATAACACACCGCTACGAATCGACTAGCTGCTTCTTCTCTCCGTTCCGGTTACCGGACTGTATCATCCAACGAGCGACGACGAATTTCTTTTCTCTCTTTCTCTTTTTCTTCTCGGACACGAATAATGATCATCGAGAGCGTCTAATAACTCGATTTCTTTTCTTCTCTCTCTCTCTC